ATACGTCTTTCAACAAATGTTGACGATTCCTTCTTAACACAGCACCATTTGGCATTTCAACATTGTAAGATCTTGGTTGAATTTGTTCAAGTACAATGCCTTTCTGTTTCCAGATATTGGATTTATCTTTAAATCTAACCTCCTCACCAACACCAAGCTCGGGCAACTGACGAGTTCCTTTATCATAATATGACTTCTGCTTAGCCCGTTGTTGATCTTTGTATTTCTTGATTTTTTCCCTATGTCGCGTTAACAGAAGATTCTCAGACACAGGCAAATTAGAACGAAGACGTCGACCCATCAGAAGACATGCCGGTGAGTATCCACATTCAAGAGGTGTACCCCGATAAGCAAGCAATCCCATATAAAAACTATTTCCATCATCTCTTGTTTTTTGCAATATTCTCTTTACTATTCCAACAGACCATTGGACTGCGGAAAATGTGGACTAGAAGTTGTATGTTTAAAATCCCATTCTTCTGCAAAGCTCCGAAAGCTGGCATTAATAAATTGAGGGCCATTATCAGTAAAGATTTCCTGTGGTACTCCACGTCGAGCAAAAACTGACTTCATGCATGAGATAACATTTTCTGCTGTAATTGTGCTTAACACACACACCTCAGGATAAAAGGAGTAATAGTCAGTAACCAAAAGGTAATTTTTTCCATGACATGTACAAATGTCTGCACCTACTTTCTGATATGGTCTTTCAGGTACTGGATGTGGTTGTAGAGGCTCTCTTGGATTACTATATTGACATTTATCACACGTCTGGCATTTTGACACGACCGTTGTAATGTCTTGATTGATTCCAGGCCAACACATGACCTCACGAGCTCTCTTCTTACACTTCTCAATTCCTAAATGGCCTTCATGTATTTTCACCAACATCTGATTTCTCAGACTTCTGGGAATCACTATTTTATTTCCTTTACACAGAATCCCATCACAAACAGTTCATCCTTGCAGTTCCAAAACTCATGCACCTCTGCCACACAATTTAGATTTTTATCTGGCCAGCCCTCCATGACATACCGTTTCACCTGCTGAAGCACTTGATCTCGTTCTGTCTCTTTACCAATTAACTTCATCTTGGAGTCGGCGACAGGCAAGGTTTCCAACAGCATGTTCACATATGCTTGAATATCCTCAGTCAGTTTCCTGCTGGATGAAGAATTCGGATCAACAGCTCCAGACAGGGTGTCAGCCATGAACATTAATTTACCTGGTGTGTAAGACACACAGATAATGCATAACGTTGTAATTTAATCATCACCCTTTGAATTCTTAACGGGCAGTTATTCAGAGGTTTTTTAAACAACGCAATCAATGGTTTATGATCGGTCTCCACATAAACAGATTGTCCTGCCACAAACTGATGAAACCTCTCACAAGCAAAGGTAATGCTTAGCAATTCCTTTTCAATTTGTGCATACCTGCATTCCGCATCAGTCATCGAACGCGAGGCATATGCAACGGGCTGCCAGGCTCCATCATAATTCTGAAGCAGTACCGCTCCCAATCCAGTCTGTGAAGCATCAGCTGAAACTTTAATGGAACGTTCAGGGTCATAGGATTTCAACCTCGGCTCTTTTGTTCAAATCACCTTCAAATCTTGCCACGCTGATTCTTGTTCATAACTCCACTCCCATTCATTTTTTCCCCATTCAGTGGAGCTATTTTTTCAGACAGATTAGGGATAAATTTACTCATGTAATTCAACATTCCCATAAACCTCTGGACATCCTTCTTACATTGTGTTCTCGGCGTATGTTCAATAGCAGAAACCTTCATGGGATCTGGTCGCACTCCTTTACTGCTGACAATGTCACCCAGAAAGGTCAACTCTGTTACTCCAAATTGGCACTTTTCTCTATTCAACTTCAAATTTGCACTTCTCGTTGCTTCTAGAACTTTCCTTAGCCTTGCGGCATGCTCTTCCTTTGAAGCAGCCCAAACAATTAGATCATCCATTGATGTATCAACACCATCCATGTGCTTGCTTGTAAAGTCAAAACGTATCAAAGACTTCTGCTTTCCTGTCTTCAGTAACAAAAGGGCCATTTACGCACACTTCATAAAAGCACAGTGAAATGCACTTCTTTTTCACAAGGGCACTGTTACAGTTCTAGTAGTTGTGTTGTTTTTATTTCGTTTTAAAAGACCATATAGTTTTGTTGTTGTTTATTTTAGTACTTGAATAAAAATGAGAAAGGTTGCGTTGACAACTCATTTTATTTGAGTTCATCATGTGCTCGTCTGTGCTCCTGTTAGGTTTAGTAATGCATTAGTTTCCTGCTTTGTTCACATTTTAAGCCGCACATCTGTAACATCATGTGAGGAAACACATTAAAGCAAAGACAGACGGCGTTCACACGAGCACACAAGTGTTCTCGCAGCTTCAGCTCCGCTGATCTGTGTATTATTAGGCTTTCTGTTAATGTGAATGAAGTCTCCCCGTGGCTTACGTTATTGTCAGTCTAGTGTTTAGTGAGTAGTTTACACCCAAACAAAAGACAGCATCTATGCTTTCGTGTCAGGAAACATTATTTTTGTCTTACATTGCATAATAAATGAGTCCTTACGTTACTTTCCTGCCCAGTGACAGCAGAAGACCTTCAGCTCTGTAGCTGATTCTGCGGCAGCTCTTTGTCAAATACCCAATTACACATCAAATGAAATAAGAACAAATGAGCGTAGCATCCGTGAGAGGGGAGCCAGTCAGATCTGTGATGGAAAGCAAACAGAAACCGTCTCCAGGGCTTCACACTGTCTGTGGAGCATGCTTTCAGAGGTGCACACTAGCTAGTGCTCGCTGCACAGTGAGGCTATGCTGTGGGGACTAGTGCTTATGAAACACTGTCTGCGTCCACAAGCTGAAAAGCTTGCAGCGTTACAGAGGCAGAAGACCATGCTGTGTCACACTTTCAATGAAACGTTCACAGTTGCTCAGGGGCCCCATAAGAGGAAGGTTAGGGGAAGTCCAGGGGCCCTGTGAGGGACGGGGCCCCAGCAGTGTGTACAAGCTGTTTTCGGCATGTCTTGTTGCATTAACAGCGCTCTGACCAGCAGGAAACAAATGAGCGTAGCATCCGTGAGAGGGGAGCCAGTCAGATCTGTGATGGAAAGCAAACAGAAACCGTCTCCAGGGCTTCACACTGTCTGTGGAGCATGCTTTCAGAGGTGCACACTAGCTAGTGCTCGCTGCACAGTGGATGCTGTGGGGACTAGTGCTTATGAAACACTGTCTGCGTCCACAAGCTGAAAAGCTTGCAGCGTTACAGAGGCAGAAGACCATGCTGTGTCACACTTTCAATGAAACGTTCACAGTTGCTCAGGGGCCCCATAAGAGGAAGGTTAGGGGAAGTCCAGGGGCCCTGTGAGGGACGGGGCCCCAGCAGTGTGTACAAGCTGTTTTCGGCATGTCTTGTTGCATTAACAGCGCTCTGACCAGCAGGCGGCAGCAGCGACGTTCTTCTTCTTCTTCTTCTTCTTCTTCTTCTTCTTCTTGTTGTTGCTGAGGATGATGGTCATGTGATATTTGATGACGGGGCTTTTATTTTGAAGGGCGTGCGCTGTTGCCGTGATCACGTGCTCAGATCGAGTCGCTGGTGCGCGAGAGCCGCTCAAAGCGATATTAAACATTAGAGATCGTGAATGTGAAAGCCTTGTCGCTTGTTCAGCCGTCGGGAGTGCTTCACAGCAGAAGTGTGGCTCACAGCGCGATATCTCGGTGTCGTTCTGTCTGCTAAAGGCTGTAGAGACGATGCAAGGATCGAGACAAGCGAACGATTTTAACAGGTTTGACTTGTAAAAATAATATACGGTCTCATAGATTGAACAATGATACACGTTACGCTGTTTTGATAAAGTCTGTAAAATATCCGCTGTGCTTGATGCAGATATCCGCTTAGCATTAGCATTAGCCGCAGATGTGCAGTCAGTGCTCACGTGACTCATCTTCATAAACACAGTGATGCTCAAACACTCGCCCCGCAGCATATAGACACACACACACACACACACACACACACACACACACACACACACACACACACACACACACACTCTCACACACAC